TAGTGATGGTTATCTGGAAATGTTACATGGATCCTAACTGAAAAAAATATACATTTCTGAACTTATAATTTAATAGAATATTTTATAATGAAACAAGGATCATCATGAAAACTAGAACTAAAACTAAATAGAAAAAAAGGCCACCTATCTGTGAACCAACGAGGTAGTAAAGTGTCTCCTGGCAGTTAAGGAGTTAAAAATCGGGGAATAAGGATGTAGAAAAACCGATAATACACAATTCAAGGGAAACTGCATATCCGGCTGTGTATATTTACCAAATGAACTTTAAAAAATCTTTATTCCCGAGCTGTGGACTTGAATCCCGCCCTAGCAGCAAGACTCGAGAGTGAGGTATCTTAAGTGCAACTGAAGGCGTGGTCGGCAGAGGGAAGTGATCCTCAAGTGCATCGCCGCGCCTGCCGTGTGAATCCCCCCCCCCCAATAGGGCCGCTATCATGATCCTTACTGCTTCTCCCTCTTTCACTTCGTCTCTATTCTCTCACCAGAACGGTGGCTGTTTCAGGCAGCCAGTCCACGATTAGGCCCTTTTCACTCTAATAATTACACAAGTCGATCTACTTACTACATTAGGTTAACTTCAATACAAATTAATCGATTAACAGACTCGGACGCGTCTAACTCTAGATTAATAGCTAAGTGCCAGCTGGACCCGCGGCCCCTCGGCCTCGGAGCCGCAGCCACCTGGCGCTGCTCCGCCCGCAGCCGAGAATTTGGTCGCGGGGAAATGCGCCGGCGGGTGGCGGGAGAGACGGCAGGTGCGCGATGCTCCTTGCTGACTGACGGGGTCTGGACGGCCGCCGCGTGACGAGGCGGATGAGGCAGACACTCAGCCTTTGACTCGCGGCCCCCCCCTCCCCCCGCCGCCCTTGCTCGCTCGTCGCTGCGCCGCGCCAAGCCCGTCTCCGCCGGCCCCGCTCGGGAGGCGCTGCTCGCATGCCCGCCGGCGCCCGAGGCCAAGGGCGCTGCGCCTCACTCCTGCGAAGAGTCGCCCAGGACTGCCTCCCGCTCGCCTGCGTCGCCACCCGAGGCCAAGGGCAGGACGCGCGTCCTCTTGAAGAAGCCAATCTGCGGGAGGAAGGAGGACGTGCGTGAGCGCTTTAGTTTCTACCAAGAATTTGCTGGAGCTTTGTTTCGTTCTGTTTTGGATGTTAAGGTTTATTCCTTTCCCTTGAGGTGTAATTCAATTTGGCCTCTGACTAATCTATGGTCGCTGCCAACACTGAATTTATTATAACTTCCACATTTTTTTTTTACTAAATCGCGCCTATTTGAAATTATGAAGTCCATTTCGTTTTTGATGTCTGATGGCGACTTCAATGTCCACTTCCGCTCTAGTCTTTCTCAAAGATTGTATTCATGATACTGAGTGATCGAGCTGCCGCAAAATTGATTAGCATTTGTCCCCTCTCATTTCTAGTGCTTATTCCGTGACCCCCCCCCCCACACACACGCGCGCGCGCGCGCACACACACACACACACACACACACACACACACACACACACACACACACACACACACACACACATACACACACACACACACACACACACACACGTATGTATGTATGTATGTTTATATATATGTTGTGTACCGTACGTAAAGCGCGCGTCTGACCTTGTGTAGGACGGCGACGAGGACGACGACGAGGAGGAGGCCGGCCGTGGCAGCCCCCACGTAGTAGAACCAGTCGAGCGACAGGAGGTCGTGCGGCGTCTAGGGGAGGGAGGGCGGAGTCACGCGGAGGGAGAGGAAGAGGGGGAGGGAGAGGGAGAGGGAGATGGGGAGAGAGAGGGAGAGGGAGATGTGGGGAAAGAGAGAGGGAGATGGGGAGAGAGAGAGAGGGAGAGGGAGATGGGGGAAGAGAGAGACCGAGAGGGGTCATCCGACGGACCCTACAAGAGTATGGTAGACGGCTTAGGGTGTAAGACAGACAACCAAGAGGTCCCGAAGAGAAATGATGGAGCGCGTCTGCCACAGTTGTCTAAGGATGGCCATAAAACATGTTTCTAGCATGTGACCATCGGTGGTGAAGAAAGGCAGTGTTACAGCTGTGAACAATACGTAGCAAGACCGGATGGCAGATTCACACCTCGGTCCAAGCAAATGCCTTTCTCCTTGCGCAAGATGCAGGTGCTGCCTTCCTTTCTTGCTACGTATTGTTCACAACAGCAGTATATAGGTCTTGCGAAAGGGGTAGACAGCACAACATTGGAATGTCTAGCGTGGCAAGAAGAGGTGATTAAACAGGTAAATCAGTGATCATGAGTATATGCATATCTATATGTATGTGTGAAGATACGTATGTGACAAACCTGTAAGTGTATAAAAAAATATTGTAGAACATAACCATGGATGCATAGAATAATATAAGCATACACATTTTAGTAAAATTATACAGATATACTTGGGTTACAGAGACAGACAGACAGTCACAGAGAGAGAGAGAGAGAGAGAGAGAGAGAGAGAGAGAGAGAGAGAGAGAGAGAGAGAGAGAGAGAGAGAGAGAGGGAGAGAGGGAGAGGGAGAGAGAGACAGAGAGAGGGAGAGAGAGAGGCAGACAGACACAAAGGGAGAGAGTCACGCAGAGAGAGACAGGCAGACATACAGAGAGAGAGAGAGTCACAGAGAGAGACAGATAGACATATATATATATAGAGAGAGAGAGAGAGTCACACACACACAGTCACAGAGAGAAAGAGACAGACAGAGAGAGAGTGAGTGAGTCACGGAGAGAGAGACAGAGAGTTACCAAGAGAGAGAGAGAGAGAGAGAGAGAGAGAGAGTCACCGAGAGAGAGAGAGAGAGAGTCACCGAGAGAGAGAGAGAGTCACCGAGAGAGAGAGAGTCACCGAGAGAGAGAGAGTCACCGAGAGAGAGAGAGAAAAAAAGAAAGAAAGAGAGAGAGAGAGAGAAGAGTATACTCTCTACCCCTCCCAAGACGCCCCTTTCAGCCTAGGCCGCATACGCACCCGCTCCCTGAGGACGTAGACGGGCGTCCGGAGGGCGGCGAGGCGCGAGGTGCGGGGGGCACGGCCGTCCGCCTGGCTCGCCTCCACGCTGAGGGCTGACTCGACCATCAGGAGGCTGTGGCGAGCGGTCTGGGGAGAGATCGTAGCGTGCACAGATCATTTTATGGCAAAGAATGGACCGCTGACACCTGGGAATCATTTGATCTACGTCTGTGATGATGAGTATTGTTCATTCTATTAATTAATGATTATGATGAGGACAAACAGCATCTGGAAGTCAACACACACAAACATGAATATAATGCCTGTCCAATGTCGATTTCCGCCCATAACATTCAGTTCATTAACCCGATTTGTTGCCACCATATGACATCGCCAATTTTTAGAGAGTATTTCGCTAAAGCAATTTACCATTGAAGAAAACGGAGGAGGACTGCGTGGTGAAGTAGATATGACTGCGTTTTTCATACAAATTCATTTTACAGACAGAGCTTCTGAGTGAGGTTTGTGCATGCTTTCACCGAGTATATATCAGTGCAACCAGTGTGCATCCATATGGCTACTCAAAACAATTTCTTATAAACATGTTCCTCATACATATATGAAGCCAAGCAGGTATTTTGTCGAGCCTTGGTCATTGTGATTTGTAAAGTGAACAAATTATTTTCATGGAGGAGAAACTATATTCTAATGCGTTTATTCACTTCTATTTATTAAACATTTCACCTTTACGTATCTAGTCATTTTATCCTATGAAGGATAAAATAATTTCAAAATATTTTTTTCAACTGCATGATATATTCCAGGTATTGGGTAAGGTAACCGGTAGTGTTGCCGACTGGTCTCAACTTGCAATTCCAAATGTGTGAACCAAAATACAAAACAGATTGTAAATCATACATAAGTTCTAAGAGAATATGTACATTACCTTTTTTATGACTTAGCTGATTTTGCCAGTTAAAGAAATAGCAAGAGAGAAAGAGAAATTCAGAAAGAGAAATGTATATGCAAATATATATATATATATATATATATATATATATATATATATATATATATATATATATATATATATATTTTTTTTTTTTTTTTTTTTTTTTTTTTTTTTTTTTTTTTTTTTTTTTTTAGGAGAGTAAGAGCGAGCGAGAGGGGGAGGCCTACCAGGAGCGTGGGGACCACCAGGAACCCCGCCACGGAGACCGCCACGCTATCTCCGCTCAGCATCGGCGGCAGCTCGCACCTTGAACGCAAACCGGACGGCGTGAGAGAGACAAGGAAATGTGCTTATCTTCTCGCCTTTCAGCGGACATTAAGAGCACTTTTTCACGTTTCTTTCATTTCACAAATGCAACTTACACGAAGCTCTCGCAGACGACGTTGTCGCAGGAGAGGATGAGGTGACTGCGGTCGTCCCTGCGGGGGGGGGGGGGAGGTTAGCATTGCCGCATGCGGACGTAGGGCAGGGCATGTGCATGTGAATAATACCATGTACACGCACACGTACGTGCACACACACACACACACACACACACACACACACACACACACACACACACACACACACACACACACACACACACACACACACACACGCACGCACGCACATATATACGCACACACACACACACGCGCGCGCACACACACACACACACACCACACACACACACACACATATATATATATATATATATATATATATATATATATATATATATATATATATATATATATATATATATATATATATATATATATATATATATATATATATATATATATATATATATACATATATATGTATAAATGAATATACAACCAGCATATGAACAGCATGGCCTGGGCTCACATGGGTCCGCTGAGGGTCTCCGCTGAGGCCGACAGGGAGTCTCGGGGGGCGCTCCTCCTGGTCCTCTCCGTCGCCGCCGCCGTCGGGCTGCCGTCGTCTGCGGGAAAGGTCGCCACACCGGGCGGTGGCTCGGCTGCGCCCGCCGCGTCGGACTGCGCCTCGTCCCTGGACACCTAGGGCGCGAGAGGCAGCATGAGAGGGCGAGCGAGGAGCGAAGGCAACCCAACCATTAAACTGGAATCTCGGCTACAGAACCTACAAATAATCATCTCTCTCAGATCAACACACTGGGCTCTTTCCACGAGTCACGTCACGGCGTCTTCTGTTTTGGATTGAATGGCGTGTCTGCAGTTTAGGCGCAGACGCTTCTCTCTCTCAGGTGACGCTGAAACACGAAGGAAAGACACACAGGCTCACACTGTTTTCTCAAGGGACACTTCACGTCGTGCCGTGTGAAATTTAAAATCCCTTTCACGCATTTTCAATTTCCTTAGGCAAGCGAGTTGTATCCGCAGTTGAACTCCACGGTGACAAGACGCCTCATTTCACTACATGCGTCCTTTGCCTCATTACTCAGGTACCAGGTACCCACTTTTGCACCTGTTTAGGCACATTTCCTTGACCTCCTGTTTGTGCAAAGTCCCTGAGAGAATCATTCTGACCAGACTTGTGTAAGTTATCCCCCAGGCTATATGGATTTCTCCCAGGATGTAGCAGCCAGCACTGTTTTGCAGAGTGCTTAACAAACCTCAAACCCAGGCATGCAAATCGTATTTCTTAATCTTCAATCTACCACTATTCAGGGAAAACTGTTAACATGGATTCAAATGTATCTATCAAATCGATCGGCTCAGGTTCTCTTCAGAGGCATTAAGAGCACTCATACAAAAGTATCTGAACTCGGCACCTCAGGGAGGCGTACTTAGTTCCATGCTATTTAATATCCTAATGTATAGATTACTAGGCGATGTAACACTTGAGGGCAATGACCCCATTATTTTCTATGCCGATGATGTTTGCCTTAAATCCTCACCCGAGGAGAGAATGCCAGATTCTAGATATAGTTCCAGCAAAGGCTACTGAGTGTGGCTTGATAATCTCGACTGAACAAACAAAGGCACTTCACCCAAAGAAAATTCCTCTGCCAAGGTTCTATATAAATGACGTTGAGCTAGATCTTTGCCACCAATACCAATGCCTCGGGGTGATTGTCAATCAGTGTCAATATTGCAAGACTCTTACTTGTCATACATACGGTCAGTCATAGATTATCATGTACTGCATCTAGTATTGTTCAAGGAATCAGAGTTAACTAGCTTAGAAATTGTACAAAATGAAGCCATGAGAATCATTCTTGGTGCCCCTAGAACAACAAGGATTGATGAGGACAGAACTTAATTTACCTTCTGTTTACGAAAGAATGTTATATATAAATACCACATATAGTGTCAAATCAATTAGAGAACCCCTCCTTTGTACAGAGTTCCAGAGACAACTAAAACACAGATTGATACTCAAATGCGTGGGTACAGCTGAACATACCCATAACCAAGACTCTACATGGTCGTTCTGTTCCACCGTGGAAAATGTATATTACACGACTGCCCCCAAAAAAGACAGTGTTCCACCTGCTATACTTCAGCAGTATGCACTTGCAAATATAAATGAGCATCTCGAAACTCAGTCCAGTGCATATGAATACTACACTGACGAATCCTTGAGTCTGGGAGTAGAGCAGGATGCGCTTTTGTGTATATAAAAAACGGTATTTTGCAGCACCAGGATTGTAGGAGGGTTCATGACTGGGCTAGCACTACGAACACTGAGGTGACAGGAATACTCATGGTTACCGAATTTCTATTGTATCAAGGGTCAGAGGTCATTTTCTGCGATTCACAGAGTGCCCTCCAGGCTCTGAAACTAGACAAAGGTGCAGGAAATATTGCAAATGACATCAGGATAAACATGTATCGTGCAAAAGAACGAGACCATGATATACGTTTTGCGTGGATTTCATCACAAGTTGGACTCCCTAGGCATAAACATGCTGATCGCCCAGCAAAGTCAGCATGTGACAAGCAAAGTGTGGATATAGGTATTGGGCCATCTCTTTCTAGGATTTATTCTCAGCGCCCTGAAAGCTGTGGCATAAAGTGTGATATTGTGACCGCAAGAATCAGGCTTGCATATAGATTTGTAATGTCGAAGAAACGAAGTGTAAATTGTGTAATGAAGAATATAAGAGAACACTCGAACATTATATCTCAGAGTACCATATGTTACAGCCTATCAGACTACCTAGCATGAGCTACGGAGAACTATGTAACCATTTCATATCATCTGATGTCCCCCCCCCCCCCCCACAAGCCGTATGCCGGTGTGGCAGATGAGGAGTAAATAAATAACTGTGTAATTGTTCCTTTCCTTTAACTGATACAGTACTTATCATAATAATGTTATAGACTAAAATTCAAGTGCAATACCACTGTATAATGTTATGACCATGCATCAAATGTAACACTTTGCCCACGCCTGTGCAATTAGGCAGGGTGGTAAATCAAGAACTAAACTACACTTCCCTTCTTAGTAGAATGTCTAGACCAAGCCCAGACCCCGAGATATCCCTCCCTCTCTCCCTCCCTACTCCTCTGATCCCTTTTTC